TGGAGGTCACATGTCCACTTTTGGAACAGTAATAGTCACCAGAGAAATGCCATACACTGATTGGCTGAGGGTATCTTTTCTGAGTCCCATGGCTATGTGTGTGGGGAGTGAATATCTGAACAGAATCAGGGTCTCTTAGCAAAGAAGCAGGGAGGGATGATGCCGAGCAGGCAACCAATGGTATCTACTATATTCACTTTCCTGATTTTCCTCTTGGCTATTCTTCTCGGTTTCTCTTTTGTGCATTTTTCTTTTCTGGACTACCACTTAAATGTTGTTTATCATTTAAGATAATTCTACTTTCAGTCCTCTTCTATTCAGACTACACTTTCTCTGTGGGCTACCAATGCCTTACCTTTGATTACTACCTTTAATTAAAGAGATATCTCTGTTATGTGTTATCTCACTGAGTCTAAGCTCCTAATGACTCCTAAATAAGGTGTATATCATCAGCCAAAGTGTCTCTTCCAAGCTCCATACCATAAATTCCAAAAAGACTAACATACAATATTTCCTATGGCCAGCAGAATAATCCCCCCACCTCCCAAAGATGTCTATGTCCAAGTCCCCAGCACCCATAAATATGTTAGGTTACGAGGCAAGGGACAATTAGGGCTACAGATTGGTTGCTAATCAGCTGACATTAAGATAGGGAAGATTACCCTGGACTCTCCAGATGGACCCAAAGTAATTACAAGCCTTTAAGGTAGAGGAGGGAGGAAGGGTGTTGAGAATTTAGCTAAACTATTTGATAATATTGCTGCCTTGGCATTCATTTTGTGTGGCAAAGTAGCCTACAGGGGCCTTGAACTGACACTAGCCTCTCCCTCAAGTGCACGCCCAGATAACAGCCCATGTACTAGACAACAACCTGCAGATTCACAAGTGTAAATCCCAGATATGACTTTCCCGGTGCCCCTGGTGATAAATAGTCTCTCCTGCTTCCCAGCTCCTTCCCCTGTGCACCCCCCTTAGATAAGACCTCCAAAGAGGTTACCAAAACTCTGCTCTTTTTAGTTTGAATCCACCAATCTGGACTTAGCCTAGGAACCCCAAAAGCACTCAATTGTAGACCCTAAGTAAGACATGCACCCAGGGTCCTGCTGCCCACTCTCTCCTGCACCCTGACACCCCCCACCCCGTGGCCCCTCTGAGGTGTGCCATGTACCTTCTCTAGGACCCGTGAGTAATAAATTTCTCTATTTCACTTTCCCTTGTGGTCTACTTAACAAATGCTAATTTCACAAAAATCACCTCAGGGGAGAAAGGGCTAGAGAGATGGCAATGTGAAAAGGCATCAGTCAGACAGTGCTGGTTTTGAACACGGAAGAATGGGGCCCTGAGCCAAGGAATGCAGGAGGGCTCTAGAAGCTGGAAAAGGCAAGGAAACATTCCCTCCTAGCGCCTCCAGAAAGAATGGAGCCTTGCTGATACCTTGGTTTTCGCCAACTGAGATCCATTTTGGATATCTGACCTCCAGAACTGTAAGATAATCAATTTGTACTGTTTTAAGCCACTAAGTTGCTTTAATTTGTTACCGCATAGAAAACAATATACTTCCTATATTCAACCTGTGTAAGTGAACCACCATATTCTCCAGCAAATCTGCTTTTCTTTCTGTGCTCCTTTTTCAGGTGATATCACCACTATCATGCATCCAGTTATCCAGTTGGGAGTCATCCTTGACCTCTACCTCTCCCCACATTTAATTCATCACCAATTTCTGTCTGTTCTTTCTACCTCTAAAATAACATCTTTATTCCACTGCATCTCTGCTACTACCTCTTTCAGGCTACAGTACTGAACTGCTAGAATTATGTAACAGTGGAGTTTTGTATTCCACTCCAGTCTGTTCTCTATACTATCATACGTTTAAAAATGGAGATCCATAGGAAGAAATACATTTCACATCAAGATCTAGGACACACACACACACACATACACACACACACACACACACACTCTGAATGAAAAGTTTCACGAAACCATAATTCCCATATACTCTTTTGCAATGTGTGCTATTTTCTATTCTATGTATTTAAATTAAAAAAAAAAAAAACAGCTATTGGCGACTCACTATAGTGATTTCATATCTGACCAATGGATCATGACCTGTAGTTTGAGAACATATTTTTCTACCTGGCTACTAGAATGCTCTTTCTAAAATACAATCATTATTTTCCTTAAAATCTCTCAACGGCCTCCCACTACTTTAAGGATAAAGTTCAAACTTTAACACAGCTTTTAAGATCCACCATTTCCCAGCGTCTTTATGAACATAGCTTCATCTGTCTCGGCTCTAACTGGTTCATTTTCATTTTGTGATCCAACCAAACCTATTTACTTTCTGGACTCAGAATGTATCTACTGATAGAATGCTCTTCCCCACATCTTCTTCTTGTAGCTAATTCCCCCTCATTCTACCTTCTCAGCTTAGACTCCACTTCGCTCTGAATGCTTTCCCTGGACACCTGGCCCAGGTTGGGTACCCCTCCTGCATGTTCCCTTAGCACCCTGGACTTCCTATCACCCTGCATTTCAACTGTGCCAGTGTTCTTTAAGAGCAGGTATACATAGTAGGCCTTCAGTAAATATTGATTGAATAAATGAAACTATTTTGGTGGGTTCCCATCTTAAGTCCATTGAGTGGACATTTGCAAATAGTTGAATATTTGGATTCTTTCCCACCACTGTAACGTTCTGAAGAAGGCAAAGGTCTGGAACTGAACTGTCTATATAGATACTTGTTTGCTGATTCATTAAACAGTTTCTACAGTTTAGCTACGTGTGAAGCAGCACAGAACACGGGTTCAAGATTCACTAGATCTCTCATACTGAAACATAACCGAGCATCTCGTAGTCTTAATTTCCTCATCTGAATTCCACTACCCCAGTCAATGTTTACCCTTCGATATGCCCAGCATCCCAAATTCAATTTGTGTAACTGATGGGGACAATATAATAGCTTGCTCATAGGACTGAGAAGCCAGTGAGTTAAACAATATAAAATACTTACATAAAACAATATTAAAATACTTTGCAGATTATGCTTAGCTATTAGATTTTATATTTAGCTACCACATATAGACACGCATGCCAATGTCAGGTTATGCCAACACCCTAAATTACACTGATTAAGGAGTGCAAGTAGGGTACTTCCCTGGCAGTCCAGTGGTTAAGACCTCGACTTCCAATGCAGGGGGTGCGGGTTTGATCCCTGGTCAAGGAGCTAAGATCCCACATGCCTCACGGCCAAAAAAACAAAACATAAAACAGAAGCAATATTGTAACAAATTCAATAAAGACTTTAAAAATGGTCTACATCAAATAAAAAAAAACTTAAAAAAAACAAAAACAAAAGGAGTACAAGCAGGATGAAGAATACGGATAAAGGGTACATATCCATAAATATGGATTATCCTGCATGATCAAACCTCACAAATGCTTAGATGTAGCTATAATATGGTCTGTGATATCATGGTCTTTTATTCAGAGCTTTTTCTTCAGAACTTGCCTGTTCCTTTAAAAGAAAACTAAAGTGTAACTAATTTAGCCTGCAATATCAGTTTTAGGGTATTTAGTGACCTTCTTATGGGGAGGGCTCCAAAATCAGGTGACATCAGATTGACATACGATGGTTTTCCTATGGTAGGAAGGAATAACAAACACCCCACAAATGAAAAGAACAAGTGGTTCTTGCGGTCTCCATCAGCCAGCCCTTCAGTGCTATCTGACTATTTATGTAACTAGATGATTATACATACCTGTCTTCACTTCATACTCCTATAAAATGGTGTGGCCTAATTCCTCCCTCTGAATGTTAGCACACTACAAAATGCCCAAAGAATGAATTATGCTTTAAGCATTTTGGATATGACATGATACTGTGCTGATATAAGAATAAAAATTCAAACTGCCTAACCCCAAATCAGATTGGCACACTCAAAACAAATTATTTAGGAATATTTTTCTCATTTTTACATCAGTTACTTTACAACCTAATTTGAAGGTGGTGGAAATTCATCAAGGAATACAGAATCAGCAAAATAATGTAGATTGATACATAAATAGTATAATAAAGTCTTATAAATATTTTATGAAAGAATATAAACATTATCATTAACTTTCGCCTCATTCATTCACTTGGTATACACATCCCGTTATTTTCCAGGCACTTGTTCAGTTGCTAGGGATATAACAGTGAAAAGACAAAGTCCTGCTTATGGAGGTTACATTTTCTGACAAGAAGGGAGAAGATAAAAAGAACAAATAAATTAGGGGAGGGATAAATTGGGAGTTTGGGATTGACATATATACACACTGCTATATTTAAAATAGATAACCAACAAGGATCTACTGTACAGCACAGGGAACTCTACTCAACATCCTGTAATAATATAAATGGGAAAAGAATTTGAAAAAGAATAGGTATATGTATAACTGAATCCCTTTGCTGTACACCTGAAACTAACATAACATTGTAAATCAACTATACTCCAAAATAAAATAAAATAAAACCTTAAAAAAAAAAGAACAAATAATTAAATAAGAACTTCAGGTACTGATACGTGCTATAAAGAACATGAAACAAATGATATAAAATGCCTAAAGTAGTGGACATGGGAGGGGCTTGGAGTACGGATTCTGGAGCCATAATGTCCGTATGCAAATCTAGGCTCTACCTATCAACAGGTCTATGATGCTGGGCAAATGATTCACCCTCTCTGGGCCTCAGTTTTCTCATCTGTTGAATGGGGATGATAATAGTGCTAACCTCATAGGTTTGTTGGATTCAACAAATTAATGTATATAGAACAGCACCTGGCACATAGTTAGTGCTATGTGCTTTCAATGATTACTTCCCTCTCTGAGTAGCTCACCTTGAGCGAAAATCTAAATATTAAGAAGGAGCTCAAGCTAATATGGATAAATTAAAAGAACTCTGTACCAAATAAAGAACAGTTAGACTGAAATGCAGCTCTCTTCTTTATATTTCCATAGTATACAGTAATGAACATACATGAAGATTAAACTGTAGCAGCAAGTGTCATCACCCATCTTCACATTCATCAGAGTTTTCTTCACTTGGATCCTCACTGGTCTCCCCTTCACTCTCACCACTACTGTCCTCTTCACTCTCTTCATCATCTTCCTCCAGATTTTGAGCTTTCTCTGCCACAGAAAGGGAAAGACTTGCTTAAAATGTTTCTTAGTATTTCTACCCTGAAAAATCACAATTCTCCTTGTTTTCCCCACCACTAAGAAATACATATTTTTGGAATGTGAGAACTGAGCTGAAGTTTGCTAACTGCATGTAGGGTCAAAGCACTAGTACAAAGAAGAACATATTCTTACTGGCATAAAGATGTTTGTGGATTTAAAATAAATTTAAAACATTGGTCTATAAAAATATTTTTTACTACTGTCCACTTAATTCTTACTTAAATAGAATAAGAGTAAAGTGAGATTCAGGGTGATTTAGAGGGTACTGGCTTTGCTTGGAACTGTGGGATAATCCCTTTAGTGCCTGGCGCAATTAGCAGGTTCTGTTCCCTCTGAGGACTCTTTCAGTGCCCAATACCTTGTGCCCAGGGAGCCTGCTTTGCTTGGGCAGTTCCACCCCACAGAGGAAAGGGAGTCATCTTGACCATCCACAGAGGACAAGCCGGTTTCATGAAACCATCCAAGATGATCATTTAGCCTTTTCTTAACCACTTCATGAGGATGTACTTTGCCAATCTCCTGGGGCAATGGATTTTTAAATAGTGACTGCTCATAGTTCTAGGAGAAAGAAGTAATTTCCATTTTTAAATTTACCCATCAGCAGCATTTCTTCAATAAGTGAGGAAAACTCCTTGGCCTCAGGATTTTCTGGTTCATAGATTAGGACTGAAAATGGACAACAGAATGCATGTTATTAGTGTTCGAAGTGTTTCAGCAAACAGTCTCTTCAGAATGAGACTGAAACTGTCAATGAGAGTAAGTGAAAATGCACAAAGTAAAACCACCAACAATTATACCATGGGTATATCTAAGCGTAAATAGAGAAAATGTTCTACTTATCTTAGGTGCTTTGTAAGGGAAATAATCCTCATTCTAGTTTCTACCTCCTGTCCAAAGAAGGAAATCTCTATCACTATGAGGCATCCCTCATGGGCCTGTAGCCAGTGTTTCTTGACTATAAGCATTCCCCAAACAAGGTGCAAATCCCGCAAAACATGGAGACTTTACTAATGACACCCTAGTCATCGCCTACTTAACAGCACTCTCACCTCTTCATCAGACCCATTGTTTTTAAGTGCTATTTATTCCTTTTTGCTGACCCTTTATGTGAATGTGTCATCTTTCCTTTGGACGATATCAATCGATTTCTTTTTAGGCCTGTTAGTACATTACCAATGTCCTAGAGCCCAGAAAGATTTACACCTTTTGTTTCAGAGTTTTCTAGACTAGTTTATTTATTTTTTCAGATCTTGCTCTACAGATCTCTCTCTCTGCCTTCTTCCTACCTGCCTTGAGGTGTATTCATAATTCTGCATCATCCATTTAAATGTTGTGACTCCTGCGTAATATCTTGATGGCCCCCAGGGGGCACTGAAACATCAAGTGTGCTATTTGCCTGGCTAACAGTGAGACAGAGAATTGTGGATGGTTCACTTAGGCCCCAACGGCTCAGAGGGCCTCACCCCATATGGCTTTCATCCTGACACACCAAACCAAGGTCTTTATTTCCTAATTCCTAATATAACAATGTACCATCAAACTGGGTTAGCATGAATGTGCACCTGCTCAGAACATGCTTTTAAGGCTTCTAGGGGGTATTTATACATCTTTTAAGGCTTCTGATAAAAGTGACTGTTTGTACATTTTAACTTAGACTAAAATAATTTAGCAGTCTAAATCTTTCTCTGAGGCTAAGCCTCTTTCTAGAGCAGAGTTTCTCCAACTTGCTCCTTGAGATACTAGTTTCTTAAGATGTTAATATGCATTTGGGAAACTAGGCTAATGAAGTTAATCAGGTAAAGCTTATAGTAAGGAGTAACTGCAGGATTTCACATAGCCATTAATATGCTCATAACTACTATGGATCTTACAGAGAGGAGAATGTGGTTTCCCCAATTTATTATCCCCATGGAATCCTTGTTTGGTGGAACACTTACTAAGAAATCTTGAACTAATATTCCTTGGAACACAGCTTAGAAAGTTTCATGTTGGAGTTAGGATTATTCCATGGGAGTGGAGCACGGCATCAGCTATTCTCAGCGTTTAACAAAAAATGCTGGCAATTGTCAGAGTGACGGAAAGGTATCTGCTTTGAAACTTAGCCCTGCAATATCCATCCTAGGTGATAAATGAAAAACTCTTTGACAGGCTATTAGGGTTTGCAAAAAAGCAAGAGAAGCCCTTAGCACATGCAGTTGATGTCCTGGGAGTTGCTTCCCAACCGGGGCCCATAAGCAGAGGCCGGTATGGACCCTGAAGAAAGACTGTCAGATGTGAACACTGGCTCTGCCACTGTCTAGCTGGGTCACCTTGGGGAAAGCATTTAATGCCTCTGTACCTCAGTTCCCTTATCTGTAATAATACTATTGACCACATCAGGCTGTTCTGATGAATCAAACAGATAATATGGATAAAGATAAATACTTAGTTTAGTCCTTGGTGCATGGTAGGTACTGAATAAATGTTGATTATTAGTTTTCCTGGAGTGGTTCTGGGCCTGGAGAAAGGCTTGGTTCCCTCCTAAGTGTGCAGTGGATGCCTCCTTCTGGCTGAAGGGCTGGGGCAGGGAGCTGGGGATTCTGCTGCCCACGGAGCTCTAAGGCCCTCAGACAGGAGGCTATGCTAGGCCAGACAGACTGTTGCAGCCCTAAGAGAGTACCAGACACAGAGGTGGAGCCTTCAAAACATTAAAAAAAAAAAAAAAAAAAAAAGGAATAAATGAATATAGACAACTGAATAGGAAGCAGTCCCTTTATGCCTTGATAAAATTGTACTCTAGGCTAATAAGAAAGGGTGATTTATTTTACTCAAAAATAAATAGAGGGCTTCCCTGGTGGCGCAGTGGTTGAGAGTCCGCCTGCCAATGCAGGGGACACGGGTTCATGCCCCGGTCCGGGAAGGTCCCACGGAGCGGCTAGGCCCGTGAGCCATGGCTGCTGAGCCTGCGTGTCTGGAGCCTGTGCCCCGCAATGGGAGAGGCCACAACAGTGAGAGGCCCAAATACCGCAAAAAAATAAATAAATAAATAAATAGAAAACTTTATAGGAACTTTCTTTTTTGTAATAAGCCATAACTTATTTGTGTTAGACCCATAATGATGAGAACCATTTTCAGAACCATTTTGTAAACATTTACAATTATAATTGACAGAGGAGGCCTTCAAGGCTTAAAAGTTATTTTTGTAGAATCTCGGGCTGCCTGTGAGCAGAAGTGTTGGCACCCTGAGATGACTGGGCTGCAGGTAAAGAGACCAAGAAATGGGAAGATTGACAGAAAATCTCACAGTTAATCATGAGATAAATGAAGAAAAGTACTTGGGACTCTTGACTTGCAGTCTCATTTAAAAACCACTTTTCCAAGGCTTCACCAACAACTTTTTTAGAAGGCAGGATAAAAAGAAAAGAACCCACTTGCACCTGGGATGCAGGATGGGAAGCCCGGCAGCCAAGTGAAGATACAAATGATTATACCGTGATTGGACGGCAAGAAAACACACCAGGAACTGGAGACTTTATTCAAGAGAATGGATTTGTAAAACATTTCTGCAGGGACAAAGATGCAGTATTTCATATAAACTAGTTGCCTTAGATACAAATAAAAAAGATATTAGTCAACTTATAGGAGCCATTTCAATCTGATTGATTCATAAAAGCATCTCTTTTCCAAGTCTCTGCCTACTTAACCAGAAATATAAGCTTATTAGTCAAATGAGGAAATGGAAATATAGCAAGAAATCATAGGCTCTCAACCCAGACCTGGGATCTAATCCTAGCTCTACCACTGGGTAGCTGTGTGACTTTGGGTGAATTAGTTCTCCTTGCTAGCCTCACTTTTCTCATCTGTAAAATGGGTTTAATCATATCTGTCTCATGGAATTGCTGTAAGAATTAAACAATGTATGTTTAATGTTCCCATAGTAGGTGTTCAATATATACATATATAAATACATAAAAACGTAAATACACAATCTATGCTTACATGCATAACTTTATAAATATATATAGAGAGAAAGGTGGAGTGTTTCATGGAAGAGCTAGAAGACGGGGGGAAAAAAAGAGACAAAAGAATATCTATGCTGGAGAGAACAGACTTGTGGTTGCCAAGGGGTGGGGATGAGGGAGGGATGGGTTGGGAGTTTGGGGTTAGTAGATGCAAACTATTATATATAGAGTGGATAAACAACAATATCCTAGTGTATAGCATAGGGAATTATATTAAATATCCTGTGATAAACTATAATGGAAAAGAATATGAAAAAGAATGTATATATATATATGTATAACTGAATCACTTTGCTGTATAGTAGAAATTAACACAACATTGTAAATCAACTATCCTTCAAAAATTTTTTTAGAAAAAGAATATCTATGCTGTAAGAATTTACATATAATATTTTGGGGTCCATGCTAGATGAAAAAAATTTGTTTTGTCTGTTGCTCTGAACACAGATAGGGACTTCGGGTAAGCCCTCAGCCAAGTGTTCCTATTGGCATCAAAGAACTAGCACTTCCTTCTCCCTGGAACAGGCTGTCTACAACTCTCTGTTCTTCCTTGAACTTGCCTGGCTTTGCAAAACCGGGGCCTCCCTAATTTTCACATCCTTGGCTGGCAATCTGCCTCAGGGGTAGCCAATCTTACTTTGCACACCCCTGCTCTCTATGCCCATTCTCTGGGCCTTTTTGCTCACATTTCCCATCAGCCTCTTCTTCCTCTTGGGAGCAGCTCTTTCCCATCTGGCTCCCTGGATCATGGTGCCTGTCTTAGGGCACTCCATAGCTTCTTTTCCTAGAGTTTAGTCCTTAGTTTTAGAGGCACCACTATTTGCCATGGACAGAAGAGAGTAAACAGCATTACTGGATGAGCCAGTAAGAGTGCAAACCACGTCTGATATCAACCCCAAAAGGGTTTAGAGCATGTGTGCTCTGAGTTCTGCTTTCTCTCCAGCTCCCAGCATAATGTCTGGTACAGAGTTAGTGCTCAATATTTACTGGTTGGAAGGAAGGGAGTGAGTTTTTAAAGGAATATAACCCCATTAAGATATATCAGTTTGAACTTTTTCATCCCCATTGACCTGGCCCTTAATGCATGTGCACTGGTATGTCAGGTCCATAAGCATTATACTGAGCACCTGCTGTTTACAGTTTGGGCTAACAGCCAAAACTTACTGACAGATGTGGTGATATCAGTGTCTATATTTGTAAGCTTTAGCCAGAGGCCTGTCTAAAATGATTGATGAATATATAAACATAATATAATATGTAAATTTTCCTACAATTAGGCTCCACAAGAAAAACTCAAGAGAACTGGGAGCTAGAGCTTCAAAATCACTCCCTTCTATACCAGGCACACAGAGAAGAAAAGTAGTTGAGAGAAAAGGAGGCTGGGGTTCCAGTTCTGGCTGTGTCACTTGCTCCCTGAGCAGGGCTGCACAAGCTGCTTAACATCTCTCTGCTTCAGTTTCACTATTTATAAAAACAGAGGATTGGACATGATTCTCTCTTTAAGGATTCTTTCTGATTGGAAATTCTGTTTGTGGGCCACCAGAAACAGTTTTGATTGAAATATTTTACTCGATGGCTCTAAAGGTCAAAAATGCTTAAAAGGATTAAACAAGGCAAGTTATTTTGGATATAAAATAGGTAGTGTTAAAGCATTCAAAAAACCCATTTTAAAAATTAGCCAATGATTTAAGAAGTTCTGTATCCACAGTGGGGACTCCGTGAGGCAAGGGAGAGTAGATCCCATGTCCCTACACTACATTTTCACTAAAAGATTTTAACCATAAGACCATAAGACAGGTCTACAATAGTTAATATTTCAAGTCCATTATTAATAAAGTTTAATTGTAGAGTTGCCATTTTCTCCTTTAAAATAACTAAGACTAATGAAGTGAGAGAAAAAGATGGGCAAAATAGTTGAAAAGATTATGGATTTTGACAAAGAGCTGGAATCTTTCAAAATCATTAGATAGACTTTCTAAAATTGGAAAATACAATCCTTGAAATTAAGAATTCACTAGATAGTTTTAACAGCAGATTGGACACAGCAAAAGATAGGATAAATTAACTCAAAAACAGGTCAATAGAAGATATCCAAAGAAATGGAAAAAACAGAGCTGAGTATAAGATACATGTGGGACACCATGAAAAAAAGTCTAATTTATGTGTAATTGGAGACCCAGGAAGAGAAGAGAGAGAATTTGGCAGAGGCAATCTTTGAAGGTTAATGGCCAAGAAATCCTCAAAGTTGATGAAAACATCAACCCACAGAGTTAAGAAACTCAGCAAACCTCCCAAACCTTTCTTTGCTTAAATACAAAGAAAACCACCACCATTTTGAACGTCAAGTCAAACCACTAAAACCCAAAGGCAGAAAAATAAGGTAGTTCACATCATTCCTCTACTCAAAAGTGTCCAGTGGTTTCCCACCTCACTCAGAGAAAAAGCCAAGGTCCTTAAGCGGCGAAAGGTGTTATGCAATCTGCACAACCCCTGTAAGCTGTAAGCTCTCCGACCTCATCTCCTATCCTACTTTCCCTGGCTTATTCTCAACACATTTGCTATTAGTCCTGCCTGGAACACACTTCCTCCAGATGACAGGACTCACTTCCTCAACTTCTTCAGGTGTTTGCTCTAGTCTTGCAGTGAGGCCTTCCTAGACCATCCTACTTAAAACTGCTTTGCCTCCCCTCCCAGTATTTTCTACTCCTTCTTCCCTGCTTTATTTTTCTCCATAGCACCTATCATCTGTGACACACTAGTTACAGATAAATTTGTTATCTGTCTGAAACTAGATATAAATGTGGGATCGTTATCTGTCCAGTGCCTAGAACAGTGCCTGGTACACGTAGGCACTCAAATTTTGTGGAATAATTGCATGTTAAGTAAGGCTTCCTGCACTACACAACACTTCTTTGAATCTAAAGGCACAATGCTACCAGCCCGTTATCATGAGGCTAAGGATTTTGACTTATTTTTTAATGGTGTAATTAGTCTCTGTCATTTTATCCCACTCAAAGTTACTCTAGAAGTCTAAATTAGTCCTTATACCAATTTTTACTATCAAGGATTCACTGAGACACTATCAGAGAATTCATTAGATGTATGATAATCAAACCATCTTACATATTATGGAATGTATTTGGAAACAGAGAAGATTGGAAAAAGGAAAAGTATTTTGTACTTACTCATCTGACATAATTTTTTTGCCAAATGGTAGTCTTGGCCCATTTCTGATCTCAGGAACTGGAAAACATTCAGAAATTCTTCAGCTACGTAGTTTCACAGAGAATTTAAATGTCAATTATAAACTCCCTAGAAAATATTCCATTAATGATTAACTATTTTGCTTTTAACTTTTACTTGTTTTTACAGGACTGAGTCTGTAATCAGTCAGTTAATGAGGACTATTTAAGGACTATTTAAGGCCACACAGAATAAATAGGATACCTCTGCTTTGCTGCAGCCACACAGTGTACACACTACTGAACAATTTGAGAATATGTAGGTTGATTCAACTGGCATACACTCTGAAGACTTTAATCACTTTAATATCCCTTTGGTTCAGATACAGCTTTTATTTGTGAACTTAATCCATAATTACACGACAATACTTAGTAAAAAATACAGATTTACAATTATGTATATTCAATATTTTCCAGTATTGATTGCCCTTATACCATCTAGTTTTGCTTTTACTATTTTTATTGTAGTTTTTTACTACAAAGTAATATTTGTATGCATATTTATATGTATATTTTTGTAGGTAGGAAATTTAAATGCTAAATAAGCACATTCTGTCCCCAATTTAATAGCATTAAATAGCATTTTTACCACTTAGAGATGTTTAACATCTCCATGAACATTTTAGTATTTTTCCAGAAATGAACACATATATATTTACAAAAACTAGGATTATTCAGTAACTTTTAAAAAATAACCACATATCATGGTCATTTTCTCCCCATGGAATTACATATTCTTGTTTACTTTTTTTTACTTACTTAGGCTCCACAATTTACTGATCTTCTATTATTAGTTATTTAGACACCTTCCATTAAAAAAAGAAGCCTACACTCAGATAATTATTCTTGCTTGTGTGTCACATATTCTGAACCATTTGCAGGTACACTAGGTTTACTCTGCAAGAGATAGGGACATGAAGTAATATTAAAGAGTCTTTGGCTGGTATTGATCTGCATATGAGTATCAAGAAACTGAGGCTGGAGAAAGAATCACTAGAATGAGCAGATGGAATACTCACTGGACCTCACACAGGGCTGAGAAGAACTCATGTTCTCTCCAGCCAGAGTGGAAGGTCCTCTTAATACAGAGAGCACTGGGAAGAGTCCTCATAAGGGTATTGCCTTAGTAGTGTCCCTACACTATAAAGGTTGCCCTGGATCTTCCCAACAAAGTTAAAAACCAAAACTCAAAAGGAGAAACCTATTTCCAAGTAACTCAACTGTCCCAGATCAAAGTCCAACAACAAAAGTTTGTATCCAAGAGCATAAAATTTACAACATCTAGGATTTGGTAAAAAATTACCAGGCATGCAAAGATGCAGGAAAATATGACCTATAAGCAGGAGAAAACTTAATCAATAGAAACTGACCTAGAGTTGACAGAGGTGATAGCACAGAAGAGAAACATGTTAAAATAGCCATTATAAGTATATGCCATATGCTCAAAAGTAGAGAAAATCTGAATACGATGAGGTGAGAAATGATAGTTACAAAAATATTTAATGAAAGCTTCTAGAGATGATAAACAGGATACCTAAAATGAATATATATATATATATATATATATATATATATATATATATATACATACATATGCATATACATGGGGCTAGGGAGGGAGAGGGAGAGAAGGAGGGCGATGGACTTAACAGCAGATTATAACTGCAAAGAAAAGATCATGAACTTGAACACAGAGCATTAGAAATTTCTAAAATAAAATACATAGAGGGACTTCCCTCGTGGTCCAGTGGTAAAGAATCTGTCTTCCAATGTAGGGGACATGGGTTCGATCCCTGGTTAGGGAACTATGATCCCACATAGTTGCTGTGGGGCAACTAAGCCTGCACACCACAATTAGAGAGCCCATGTGCCACAACTAAGACCCAGTGTAGCCAAAAATAAATAAATATTTTTAAAAATATATGGAAAAAAAACATGAAAAAAAGGGAACATCAGTGACTTTTGGGACGATATTGGGTGGTCTGACATACGTATAATTGTAGCCCAGATGAAGAGAGGGAGGGCAGAGATCAGAAAAAACATCTGAAGACTTAATAACTGAATATTTTCCAAACCTGGTGAAAACTATAAACTCATAGGTCCAAGAATCTCAATGAACAGAAGAAATAGGTCACATCAAGGCATATCATAATCAAATTGCCAAAAATAATATATGAAGAAAATTTGAAAGATGGTAAAAAAGACATATACATGTAAACAAAAATAAGAATAACAGCAGACATCCTGTCTAAAGCTATGCAAAATGTGAGAGAATGGAGCATCCTTTCAAAGTACTGAAAGAAACCTGGCCCCCCACCCTAGAATCTCCAGCTATCAAATCCTTTAAAAATAAAGGTGAAATTAAGACTTTTCAGACAAACAGAAGCTGAGAGAATTCATTTCTAGTAGAACTGCATTATAAGAAATAGTAAGGGAAGCTTTTCAGGTAAAAGGAAAATAATATCAGGTAGAAATTTGGATCTACACAGAGCTATGAAGAAGTCCAGAAATGCCTTCCAAAAGAAGATATTTTCCATTAAAAAAATCTCTTTAAAAGATAGCTAACCATCTAAAACAAAAAGAACAATGTATTGTGGGGCTTATAACACATGTACAAGTAAAACATATGACAACAAAAATACAAAGGATGAGAAGGGGGAAATGAAAATGTACTGTTAATGAAGTTCTTATGATATACATGAAGTTGTGTAATATTAATTAAAGGTAGACTGTGACACCACAACAAGTGAGGTAAAACTTTTGTTCTCCATAGAATTATCAGTAAAACGTTTATGTACAATTTTCACATGTGACGTTTCAGGCTTCATTGCCTTTGCCAATGCTGTTTCCTATGCCAGGAACACCTCCTTGATGTTTACCAGACGAATTCCTGCATGTCCCTCTTCAAGTTTCTAAGATTCCATTCATGTCTCTTCCTCCAAAAATCCTTCCTTTACCCCCCATTTCTCCTGCTTCTTTTCTCAATTAGTCATTTAATCCTCCCAGTTCCCAGAGAACTTTACAAACACCTCTACTAGCACATATTTCATTTTATTATAAATTGCATTATATACATAACATATGCCTGTTAGTTCTCAAGGGTAAGGTCATGTCTTTCTTATTTATCTCTAAATATCCCAAGTAACTAGCATGGTACCCAGTAAGTAGAAAGTTTTCCTTAAAGTAGTCCTTGAAGAGTCTTATGCCCAAACTTCTCTTATTCCTGCTTCGGCCTTTACCAGAATACTTTGAGTCACTTCTAGAATCTTCTCTCACCTCTACCCTGGTGAAAGTAGTAAGAAAGATGAGTAATGAGGTAAGCATCTGTGTGTGGGCAAGGATATTTTGACCATTTTTTTTTTTAGTCTGAAAGACTATATACTATTCAGCTATTTTAATATTTTTAAGTTTCTTGAGTTATAACATATGAGTAAAACTTACTTCTGTCATTAACTCTAATGGGGCATGAGTATCCTTATTAGGGTTACTGTCTTCCTCATTATCTTCATCATTGGTATCATCCTCACCGTCATCATCTGTTGATTCAGACAACTTATCATCAGTATCCTCAGGGGAACATTCATTATTTTTCTCCTGCTCTGTAATGACTACATTTTTGCTCATTTCACCTAGAAAAGAATGCATATAATTTAATCAATAAATATTGAAACGTATTCAAAAATTTAAAATGGTCACTCCTAAATTATAATGTAGCAAGTGTACATGTTTACTATATGTCCTCCTGTTCTGGATTTTTTTTCATGACTAAACAGCACTGCAATAAATTTAACTGATTTCCATTTCCAGAAAAGGTAATAAAACTGCTAAATGAAACAGGAAAAAACCCAAACCGATAATCCTGAGCTGATGTTAGTGTTGTTTGGTGCTTGAAATTGTAATAAATGGAAAATGGTTTTGTTTATAAAGAATATAATAACTTCCAGAAAAAAGAAATTAATGCTATTCTATCCACAGAAATACTTTTCTTAAATTTTTCTTATAGGAATGTAAATGCAAAATAAAGAGCTTGGAAAGCAAAAGTAAGACTATAGAGGTTGAAAAGTAATTCTTTTTAGGCAAGTAGTCACTGCTTGGATACTTGAGAATAAAGTTGTCTCTCTGTACACACACACACACACAAATTAGGAAGAGATACATGTGAAGTGTTCCAGATATAACCAGAAGTTACATAACATTATTAATGATTTTTCTTAATGTCAAGTCACAGTACCTATGACCAAACATAGATGACTGAAAAATAAAAAATAAGCACTACTCTGACTACCCATTCGGTGCCCAGCACTATGTTGAGCCCCAGGAACACAAAAATGAACAGTCATTGACCTCAGGGTGCTCACACTCTAACTGGGGAGCCAGAAACATAATGGATAATTATAAAACAGTATAGCAATAAGTGATAAAGATGTGTACTAGGTACATGTGAGACCAAAGGAGAGCCCCATCCTGGTCTGAGTGGATCAGTTTTTCCAAGGAGAGGGGACAGCATGAACCAGCGAAAAAAGAATGTGTGTGGAGCTACAAGCACTTTGTTGTTGTGTATGGGTCAAAATTGAGGCTGAAATGGTGACAGATGTAGCCAGAGGGGTACAAGCTGGATAATGGAGTCTTGTGGGCCTTGGAGTTAGAACTTTATCCTAAGAATGAAGGATTTAAAAGTAGGGAAACAAAGTAGTCATGAAAGATTTAAGTAGGGAAACAAGTATGATCAATTCTGAATTTCTGAAGTAATACCTGGATACCAGGGTGGAGAGTGTATTTGAAGGCAGACAGAAAAAAAAAAAAAAAGAGCAGGGAGAGAGGTAGTTAGAGGTGTCTTTAAAAAGTCCAGGTGAAAGAGATGGATGACAGGGCATTGTTAAAATAGGGATTGAGAGGAGGAGATACATTAGAGAAATATTTAAGAGGTAAAACCTCCATGGCACAAGCTGCTGAAACATTTTCCAAATTTCAGTAATATACTATCTTCATCCATTTTGCCATATGAGCGTATCACCTATACTATTTACTTAATTTTTTTTAATTTACTTTTTTAACTTAGAAATTTTGCCAGATCATAAATATTATCAACCACAAAACTGATGGAGGTACTAATAAAAGATATAATAATCATAGCAAATATTATATGCCATTACTCTTCTGAATACTACATATATTAACTCATTTAATTCTCTCACCATCTCAGTGAGGTGTGTACTATTTTTATCCCATTCATAGATGAAACTGAGAGACAGGTTAAATAACTTGCCCAACTTCACACCACTAATTAAGGTAGATCTGGGAGTCAGTTTGGCTAACCAGGTCTTATATTATTATTTTCTAATACACATTAAAATATACTACTATTAATTAAAAAAAATTTACCCTCTGTTTCCTAAAATTATCTCTTTGGGAAACACTGCTGAGCTTGCCAAGTTTTTTGGCTCTACAGATGAATTTCACAGTTTCAGCCTTAACTTGTACTACATCATCCCCTTCTTATAAGACTTTGAGTGTCTGGGAAGTCTTGAGATGTCTTCTTTGACGGGAGTGTGGCCATGAGATACTCTAAATAGTGTAGAAACACTGGTGTTAGAAAGAAGAAAATGAGGAAATCTAGGTAAGGTTGAGAGAAGACAATGTTAAGAAAAAGCAGGCCAAAAAAAGAAAAAGTTGGGAAAACTCCTCACTCTAAGCAAAAGGTACTATCTATCCTCAAAAGGGATAACAAGTCCTTCCAAGACTGGGATGCCTGGGCTATTCAGTCTATCTACCTGTTTCCTTTACAGTCTCCGTCGGCTCATAACCACTTTAATCTTCCAGTGTGTACCCAGCCTGTTCACCGACTCATCAAACTGGTATCATCAGGGATGGTCATAATAGGGAATTAAGAACTTTATGTGATGTCACAGGAACTCATTCAATTCACAAACACTGAGTATCATGAGAGAGGTTTCCTGATCCCTAGATCTAAGATAGTTCTCCCTCTTCCAGGTGCCATTTATTTATATTATAGCACCCATCCCAACCTGTCGCTGTCTTATTTGTGTTTATTATTAGTGTTTAATAGTTGGCTATTGTGAACTCCATAAGGGCAAGGATCTTGGCCATTTGCTAACTATTATATCCACAGCTTCTAAACAAGTGCCTGGCACTCAGTAAACCACTGTTGAATGGGTGGAACTTGTTAATGCTTTCACAGGTATTTCAATTCATTCTAAAATTGAATACCCTATCATTATCATTTTATGTAATGTATACCCATTGATTCCACCTGACTGCATATCAGAATCATCCGGTACCTGAGTTTGAAAATTTACTGATTCCCACAACCCGCTCCAGACCTATGAGTTGTCGACATCCCAAAGGTCCTAGAGAAGGAGGGCTGAATTAGAAGCTACAGTTACTCAAATAAAACAAATATTATTACCTGTGCTTTCTTTTAAGAAGGAAGATGACCATATCTTAGACTGCAGATTTGTTTCTATATCTTGATTTTCAATACTCTTTGGAGATACACTATTTTCGGTAAATTTCTTTAAAGAGACTTTACTTTCAATATATTTTTAAGAGACTTCCTTACTAAATGTTAAAGTAGATAGTGAAAAAACACTTTTCTAGGTCACAATTCTGTTTAAGGTTCTATATGGGTTCATACACACATTTAATATAAACACACAATATAATACACCAACAATAAATAGCTAAAATGCAATATCTTCTTTGTGGAAAAGCATTAAAAATAAGTTTTACTAATGATGAAAATTCTATTTCTACTGGGCATTTGTCATTGTGTAATGATTCTTAGAATCTTTTCAGAGTTAACATAGAGTATATAAGCAATCCATTACCTGAATGTTCCTGGCATATCATTGTGATATGATGGAATAAAACTATCTAAGGAATACTAGCCTTCAGGTTATCTTTTTCTTTTTTTTTTTTTTTAAGTTTGTAAGTCAGTTCTTACCACTGCTAAATGCTATGCTTGGGACTTCCCTGGTGGCGCAGTGGTTAAGAATCCACCTGCCAATGCAGGGGACAAGGGTTCGATCCCTCATCTGAAAAGATCCTACATGCTGTGGAGCAACTAAGCCCATGCACCACAACTACTGAGCCTGTGCTCTAGAGCACACGAGCCACAACTACTGAGCCCGCGTGCCACAACTATTGAAGCCCGGGTGTCTAGAGCCTGTGCTTCGCAACGAGAAGCCAGGGCAATGAGAAGCCTGTGCACTGCAACGAAGAGTAGACCCCCTTGTCACAATTAGAGAAAGCCCACGTGCAGCAACAAAGACCCAACGCAGCCATAAATAAATAAATTTAAATTTTAAAAAATGCTATGCTTATGGAGTCCAACACTAATATTAACCCCTGGTCATAATACAAAGTAGCCTGCTTTTTCATTAAATGGCTGAGATAAAAATGGGTTAATTTTCTCTTTTAGCCTTCAAGCCTGATACCTCTTGTCAACAGATAACACACTGAGACAGAGGATTCTTGTGTGGTGCACTCTGTTTACAAAGACAGGCACCCATGCTGGTGGAAAAATAACCGCAATTTCATATTTTGTATCTCCTTTAATGTGATTCTTTTAATATGTCTCCTTTACTGAGTTTAAAAAATTCAACTTCTAGTTTTCATGGAGATATAAAAAGATGTAAAGTGTTATTATTTTTTCCCCTAAGTTATGGTAGCTCTGTTTTATCCCTATTGAAATGTGAACCTAGAACATTAGTAGTAAAGTTAGTGATTTGCACAGTGCTTTAGCAAATATGCTGAACAGCTTGTTATATTCTTAATACTATGGGAGGGAATGGAATGTTCACTTCCCCAGTATATGCTGCTAAAGCAAAACCCCACTCTGTTGATGAAAAATACAAAGCAGAGATGATTTACATTTCCACCTCTGCCCTTCTTGATTTTCTAATTGTGAAAGAGAGCATCCAAGAAGAAACCCTAAACATGAAAAGTTGAGAAGTCACTTAAGTATTCAGTTTCTAGCATGGTGAGAGTCCTATTATGCCAAAGGTCACCACAAGTAATTACTAGAATTCATACGCTCTAATATTTAATCTAGATAAAAGGAGGACTTCACTGCCTTTTCCCAGCCACGAGTTACAGTATTGCATTGAATCTAAGATACCATTTTTTCTTCCTCTTTTTTTTTTAATATTGAACTATAGTTGATTTACAATGTTGTGTTAGTTTCAGGTGTACAGCAAAGTGATTCACATACATATATATACACACACACATATATATATGTATCTTTTTTAGATTCTTTTCCTTTATAGGTTATTATAAGATATTGAATATAGTTCCCTGTGCTATACAGTAGGACCTTGTTGTTTATCTATTTTATATATAGTAGTGTGTATCTGTTAATTCCATATTCCTAATTTATCCGTTCCCACTTTTCCCCTTTGGTGATCATAAATTTGTTTTCTAGGTTTGTGAGTCTGTCTCTGTTTTGTAAATACGTTTATTTGTATTATTTTTTAGATTCCACATATAAGTGATGTCATATAATATTTGTCTTTCTCTGTCTGACTTACTTCACTTAGCATGATAATCTCTAGGTCCATCCAAAGATATCACCTATTTATTATAAGACATACTGTTATTAAGAAAGAAAAAGCATTGTCAAGTAGAGATGTTAAAATATGCATGCTTCAGAATCTATGAAATATGGTACTTATATATTCACTAAGTTATATCCCTAAAGAAGGGAATTTAGCTAGTCTAGTTCTGGGTATTTGAATAATTTGAAATGCCTTTAATAATCTTAATGTCCTAACATGGAGGAAGCCAACATACTCAATGACCTGAAGATAAATAGGATATTACTATTTGAGAAGCTGTGAACGTGCCTTAAAAATACATATGAGAAGTGACCAAATCATCATTTTAACAGTAAATTGTGAATTCCTTTTCTGCTCACTTTCTGATATAAAGTCTATCTTGTATACAGTCTCAAAGAAGCAGAGGACCAAACTCCAATTTGCTCTTCAACTATCATCTGTTGACTTCATTTGAGAAAGTGACATTACTTATGATAACAATGCTTCTAGCCATTTAACAAAAGTAGATAACCAGCATACTCTAAAATATATTTTCTTTAAATACAATTACAATTGAGGAAAAATTCAAATTTTTACTTTGGAAGATGGGAAGTATTTACTTTAGTATCTACTAAGGTTAGAGAGTTAGTCAAGTTAGATATCCCATTGGAACATATTTACACCAGAGGGTGGATAACCTAGGTTTTAGAATTAATTAGTATGTTAAGCACACTAGGCATATTTATGAGATGTCCCCAAATTTCTATTGGAATTAATAATTTTTTAAAGTTTATATTTTAAACTTTGTTTTAAAGTGATTTACATTTATCAAACATGAGGGACTTCCCTGGCAGTCCAGTGGTTAAGACTCCGCACTTCCACTGCAGGGGACACGGGTTCGATCCCTGGCCAGGGAACTAAGATCCCTCATGCCGCGAGGCGCGGTCAAAACAAAAACAAAAACAAAACCCCCAAAAAACCATGAGCCTAAAAACAAAATTAATTAAAACTTACTTTTCTGAGACTGTCTTCGCTACATTTAGAGAGACTTGTGTTGGTGAGGTATAAAGTTTGCTTGCCAGTGTTGGTCTGCATCTAAAGAGGCATTTACTTAAAGTGTAAAAATGGGAGTAAAAAATAATGTGTCGTACATTTTAGAAAAGATAAAATATACGATTATGGAATAACCGATAGATGCAATTTTTTCAAACTCCAAGAGTTGAGTGCTGTGGGTTTGCTTTACCCATTTTCCCCTCACATCTTTATGTGTACTTGAAAGCCTGACGAAAAACCAACAGATCAAAGGTCCAAGATCTATAACACTTTGTCCAGCATTAAAGACATACTTTACTTTTACTGCTGAAAATAGTTTGTTAATTAAGTGCCATTTTTTGGGTAGACAAAATCTTTGACAGAGAGGATCCATGAGGAAAAAAGGAAATGAATTATTTGGGCTTTGTGTACAGAGAAGTTTGAAACTCCTGGTTTATAGAGTTCACACACTCCTTGTGGCTCAGATTAGAATGAAGAATCAATCAGAAGATTAAAGCAAAGAACTGGTGGGGAAAGAAAATTTCTAGTTTTCCCTAATCTAACCTGGATAGGACCTTTTGAGAAATTCCCCTTGCCTGTCAGACTATGGAGCCAGAAGCGGGGTGGAGAGTGGAATGTAAAGCTATACTGAGAAAATCCATCAACTCTGTAGGTCAGTCACACTGTTCCTCAAATAAAGGTCCCCCATGATTTTCTGTTTTCCTACTTGATCTTTTTTTTTCCAGGACTGGCTCTGTTTACTTTCACCTCTGGGTGGAGTACCTGAGGTAACAAAGCCATGCACCTGTGAAGCTTACTGGCTACCTACCTATCCCTCTGTCCCTCACTCCAAACAACAACCAAACCAAACCCAAACCTAAACTCTTCTCTGCAAGTGAGGGGAACATGATCATACTGCCCTTGCAAAAAGCAGTTTGATAAACAGATGCAATTATTAATGAGATCACGAGAACAAGCCGTCACTCTGCTTTTCTATTTTGGCCCAGACTGCATTTGATTTACCCCTGGGTTTTAACTACCTCAGAATGTGGGTTACCCCTTGCTCCAGTTCCAACACTGCTTATCACAGCCTATGAACATTGGTGTTCATAGACATGACAGAATGTATTTTCACTAATGACTACTAACTCCCATTAGTATTACTGAAAGTTATATCCTATTTCCCTCAAAGACTACTAAAATTTTCTTAGATTTTTAATTTAAAGATATTCAACCATGTAATAGGATATATAATA